TGTTTCCTCTCTACTTATACTTACAAAATGAACGGTATGGTAAACAACACAACTCAATTCCAATGCAATGTCACACGAAATTATTGAATCAAATTGAAAATATTTCGAAATCTATGAAAATTCAATTTATCAATGCTATCAGATACATTGAAATGGAATCGTGACATATTTTGTATAGCGTGTGTTTATATTACATGCAACAGATAGCACTGTTTTACAAAATAAGCATGTTTTTACCTGTCACAGGTGAGGCATCTATATAGTAGTTATATAAAAACACGCGCACATTCAAATGGAACGTTGTGTAAAAATTTTAAACCAATCGGTAAAGAACTTTTGGAGATTACAGCGTGTGTTGCGATTGTGTCCAACAGATTGTGCTCTTTAAAAAAAAAAATGTTTTTTCCTGTCAAAGGTGAGGCATGTATATAGTAGGTATATAAAAACACGCTCCTATTAGAATGCAACGTTGTGTAAAAATTTCAAAGCAAACGTTAGAGGTTTCGAAGATTTCCCTCACATGAGAAATGTATAAAAAACACCGTTTTCCAAAAAAAAACATGTTTTCCCCGCCACAGACGTGACATCTATATAGTATGTATATAAAAACTCGCTCGGATGCGAATGGATCGTCGTGTGAAAATTTTAAAGCAATCGGGGAAGAACTTTCGGAGATTAGCGATTTTGAACAAATGAACATTTACATTTTTATTTATATTGATAGCCTGAGTTGTTCTTATGGGTAACGAATGGTGCTGTTGTTTAAAAAAAAATGTATTACATGCAATATTATCTGCATATTGCATGTAATATTATAAAATGGTGTCGGGTTTTCCGACACCAGGAGTTATTCTTGGGAGATGAGCTAAGTAAAGTCAAGCCAGTCCTCGGGCCGGGCTTGGGAAGTAGAAGACCTCCCTGATCCCCATCAAGCTGGTCTGAGTACCTTAAGTAGTTTAGGTTAGATGCACATCTTTTGCATGATTGATTTCACCCAAGACGTCCTTTTCATGTGTTGAATGTTGATTTGTTGTCTGGTGATGATCTCGTATGATCACGACTCACAGGATTGAAAGGCAGAGTTGGACAGAGTAATACAGAGTAGACTGACATGTATTGTTGTAAGAGTATTGATACCAGGCAAAGAGTAGCAGGTCATGTTCAGCAACAGTAGAAGCAGATCATGTTCAGCAACAGTAGTAGCAGGTCATGTTCAGCAACAGTAGTAGCAGGTCATGTTCAGCAACAGTAGAAGCAGATCATGTTCAGCAACAGTAGTAGCAGGTCATGTTCAGCAACAGTAGTAGCAGATCATGTTCAGCAACAGTAGTAGCAGGTCATGTTCAGCAACAGTAGAAGCAGATCATGTTCAGCAACAGTAGTAGCAGGTCATGTTCAGCAACAGTAGTAGCAGATCATGTTCAGCAACAGTAGTAGCAGATCATGTTCAGCAACAGTAGTAGCAGGTCATGTTCAGCAACAGTAGTAGCAGATCATGTTCAGCAACAGTAGTAGCAGGTCATGTTCAGCAACAGTAGTAGCAGATCATGTTCAGCAACAGTAGTAGCAGGTCATGTTCAGCAACAGTAGTAGCAGATCATGTTCAGCAACAGTAGTAGCAGATCATGTTCAGCAACAGTAGTAGCAGGTCATGTTCAGCAACAGTAGTAGCAGATCATGTTCAGCAACAGTAGTAGCAGGTCATGTTCAGCAACAGTAGTAGCAGGTCATGTTCAGCAACAGTAGAAGCAGATCATGTTCAGCAACAGTAGTAGCAGGTCATGTTCAGCAACAGTAGTAGCAGATCATGTTCAGCAACAGTAGTAGCAGGTCATGTTCAGCAACAGTAGTAGCAGATCATGTTCAGCAACAGTAGTAGCAGGTCATGTTCAGCAACAGTAGTAGCAGATCATGTTCAGCAACAGTAGTAGCAGATCATGTTCAGCAACAGTAGTAGCAGGTCATGTTCAGCAACAGTAGTAACAGATCATGTTCAGCAACAGTAGTAGCAGGACATGTTCAGCAACAGTAGTAGCAGATCATGTTCAGCAACAGTAGTAGCAGATCATGTTCAGTATCATTAGTAGCAGATCATGTTCAGCAACAGTAGTAGCAGGTCATGTTCAGCAACAGTAGTACCAGATCATGTTCAGCAACAGTAGTACCAGATCATGTTCAGCAACAGTAGTACCAGATCATGTTCAGCAACAGTAGTAGCAGGTCATGTTCAGCAACAGTAGTACCAGATCAGGTTCAGCAACAGTAGTAGCATGAAGTTATAATCCTAAACAGTAACATTGCGTAACGTAACGCAACATCAGTAGGAAGAGATCAAGCGACGCAACATGGAATTAAGAGCTCACGTGATGAAGGAACAACGGAATTAAGAGCTCACGTGATGAAGGAACAACGGAATTAAGAGCTCACGTGATGAAGGAACAACGGAATTAAGAGCTCACGTGATGAAGGAACAACGGAATTAAGAGCTCACGTGATGAAGGAACAACGGAATTAAGAGCTCACGTGATGAAGGAACAACGGAATTAAGAGCTCACGTGATGAAGCAACAACGGAATTAAGAGCTCACGTGATGAAGCAACAACGGAATTAAGAGCTCACGTGATGAAGCAACAGTGACTTGAGTGCATCATTTAGTTAACTAGATAAAGAGCAATGGTGGAATAGGTCATTCCCGCCCATCTCAACTTTTAATATAACTAAAATCAACCATCACAAATTACCAACAAAACGCTTAGTCAAATTTTTTAATGCCTATTTAAGGGCTTAATTTATAATGTAATCATAATGTCGAAATTTGTCTTTTTGGTCAGCAGCGAGATATATATGTGTCTTCTGAATGGACCTTTTGTCAGCCAGAACAGTTTAGATGAACCTTCAGTCAACACGGCCTGTATAGTTAGACCTTCAGTCAACACGACCGGTATAGATGGACCTTCAGTCAACACGGCCTGTATAGTTAGACCTTCAGTCAACACGACCGGTATAGTTGGACCTTCAGTCAACACGGCCTGTATAGTTAGACCTTCAGTCAACACGACCGGTATAGTTGGACCTTCAGTCAACACGACCGGTATAGATGGACCTTCAGTCAACACGGCCTGTATAGTTAGACCTTCAGTCAACACGACCGGTATAGTTGGACCTTCAGTCAACACGGCCTGTATAGTTAGACCTTCAGTCAACACGACCGGTAAAGATGGACCTTCAGTCAACACGACCGGTATAGTTGGTCCTTCAGTCAACACGACCGGTATAGATGGACCTTCAGTCAACACGACCGGTATAGATGGACCATCAGTCAACACGACCTGGTTAATGCAGGCAGAATAATCCGACATTTAATAAGTGTATTCCACATAGCACAACCTTCTTGTTTGTGCCGCCGCCATACAACGACCTTTCTTCCATTGTGGTCGTTATAGTGCAACGTTATAGTGAATGTGGTTGATATAAAGAGACATTTTAGAAACCAGTAGAGATCTGTTGTAACCCAGTACTCAGGACAATCTCTGTAGTCCTGCCATTAGACCAAAACGGAACACTGGAATTGAACTGCAATATTTTACATACCACAGAGTCTATCACAGATTAAGAAAGTAATTAGAAACAGCAATGCTAAAGATGTACAGTGACCACAACACAGCAGTTGCAACATCAGGATCTGCGGGTTGGCACAAGAATTCAACCAACTACGAACCACTTAGTTTGATGAAAGGGAGCAGTAGAGCAACAGAAGTACACTTACATCGCATCAGGCTTGGATACCCATGTGCATGGGAAATAGGCTTACAGGTTCCGGAAGATGAGAGGAAATGTCAGCACTGTGGAGAAATGCCCGACAGACCACTGGAACATTATCTAACACAGTGCACAGTTACAAACCCATTAAGATTTCAACTTAGATTCAACAGAGCAGAAGAAGTTGTTAAACACATATGGCAAAATCTTACTGAGACGACCATACGAGTCATAAATACTCATACTCCGCCCAAGTAAAACAGAAACAAGCAACACTTAGTGGGCCAGCCATAGGCTTAGGGCCCGCCCAGTGGACCAGCCATAGGCTTAGGGCCCGCCCAGTGGACCAGCCATAGGCTTAGGGCCCGCCCAGTGGACCAGCCATAGGCTTAGGGCCCGCCCAGTGGGCCAGCCATAGGCTTAGGGCCCGCCCAGTGGGCCAGCCATAGGCTTAGGGCCCGCGCAGTGGACCAGCCATAGGCTTAGGGCCCGCGCAGTGGACCAGCCATAGGCTTAGGGCCCGCCCAGTGGGCCAGCCATAGGCTTAGGGCCCGCCCAGTGGACCAGCCAGAGGCTTAGGGCCCGCCCAGTGGACCAGCCATAGGCTTAGGGCCCGCCCAGTGGGCCAGCCAGAGGCTTAGGGCCCGCCCAGTGGACCAGCCAGAGGCTTAGGGCCCGCCCAGTGGGCCAGCCATAGGCTTAGGGCCCGCCCAGTGGACCAGCCAGAGGCTTAGGGCCCGCGCAGTGGACCAGCCATAGGCTTAGGGCCCGCGCAGGAATATCCCTGCAAAAACAACAACAAAAATTGCAATATCAGCAGAAAGAACCCATAAAAAAAGGACAATACGATCTAAAATATGAGGGAATATATATATGAAAACTCTGCCATGTGTGAAACTTTTGGGCGAAGTTTATGCGCATTACAAACATTGACTCGGTTATACACGCGGGGTATAAACACCGAGATATATATATATATATAACTTCTCGGAGAATATACAACGATTATTTTGTGCTGGACTGTATTCTGGAATACAATATACCTGCTGGTTACTGTATTCTGGAATACAATATACCTGCTGGTTGGTCAGTAAAGTAGGATGACGACTTGATAATCATCCAGACGTCGATAGGCCGTAATCTCAACACCAAACTGACAAACACGATAATGAAATCTTTTGCCACTGGTAAAACTTATTACATTATGGAGGAAAAGAGTAACTGTGGAGTTACAACCTTTGGCGTTACAACCTGTGGAGTTACAACCTGTGGAGTCACAAGCGGTGGAGTTACAACCTGTGGATTCACAACCTGTGGAGTTACAACCTTTGGCGTTACAACCTGTGGAGTCACAAGCGGTGGAGTTACAACCTGTGGAGTTACAACCTGTGGAGTCACAAGCGGTGGAGTTACAACCTGTGGAGTTACAACCTGTGGAGTTACAACCTGTGGAGTTACAACTTGTGGAGTTACAAGCTGTGGAGTTACAACCTGTGGAGTTACAAGCTGTGGAGTTACAACCTGTGAAATTACAACCTGTGAAGCTACAACCTGTGGAGTTACAACCTGTGGAGTTACAACCTGTGGAGTAACAACCTGCGGAATCACAACCTGTAGAGTTACAACCTGTGGAGTTACAACCTGTGGAGTTACAACCTGTGGAGTAACAACCTGCGGAATCACAACCTGTAGAGTTACAACCTGTGGAGTTACAACCTGTGGAGTTACAACCTTTGGAGTTACAACTTGTGGAGTTACAACCTGTGAAGTTACAACCTGTGGAATCACAACCTGTAAAGTAACAACCTGTGGAGTTACAACCTGTAGAGTTACAACCTGTGAAGTTACAATATGTACAGTTACAACCTTTGGAGTCACAAACTGTGGAGTTACAACCTGTGGAATCACAACCTGTGGAGTTACAAGTTAAAACCTGTGGAGTTACAACCTGTGGAGTTACAACCTGTGGAATCACAACCTGTGGAGTTACAACCTGTGAAGTTACAACCTGTGGAGTTACAACCTGTGGAGTTACAACTTGTGGAGTTACAACCTGTGGAGTTACAACCTGTAGAGTTACATCCTGTAGAGAGACAACTTGTGGAGTTACAACTTGTGGAGTTACAACCTGTGGAGTTACAACCTGTGGAGTTACAACTTGTGGAGTTACAACCTGTGGAGTTACAACCTGTGGAGTTATAACTTGTGGAGTTACAACCTGTGGAGTCACAACCTGTGGAGTTATAACTTGTGGAGTTACAACCTGTGGAGTTACAACCTGTGGAGTCACAACCTCTGGAGTCACAACCTGTGGAGTTATAACTTGTGGAGTTACAACCTGTGGAGTCACAACCTCTGGAGTCACAACCTGTGGAGTTATAACTTGTGGAGTTACAACCTGTGGAGTTATAACTTGTGGAGTTACAACCTGTGGAGTCACAACCTCTGGAGTCACAACCTGTGGAGTTACAACCTGTGGAGTTACAACCTGTGGAGTTACAACCTGTGGAGTCCTGAATGAATTCACAACCACCATTACTCTCCAGTGTCAACATTTAAACGATGCTTTCGTCTGTGTTTACATGAGAGAACATTATTATTCCCCTGTATACATATCGTCTTGTGCGTGTACATGAGTACATATGTATAAATGCTTGGCGTGCAAGGCCCCCAAGTTCAGTAGTTGACGTCATGGCGCCGAGGGTTCGATTCTCCGAGTGATTATTATTGTTGATGATACATATGTATGTGTCGTGATCGCTGCTTCATTCCGAACACGGCGATTACACAACGATAACTCCCTTGCCTCAGGAGCCGTTACTACCCTTATGTAATTCCCCACACCAGAAGACCATTGGGTCGTACCACTAGGTATATACACGAGCTCAGTGAAAGGACATACGAAGGTGATTAAAGGCCGTCGGGTTTGTGGGGAACCGACTTGTGAGATTTATATTTATTTATTTTACATGAATTTATATAGTATTTATATTTACGTAAATTTATGTATTTCGATAGGAATTGTATGAAGGTTAAGCAGACTCTATTTCTACAATATTCTTACAAATCGACTCCTTTATACATTAGGGGGGGGGGGGTTATATTGTTTATTTATGCAGCCAATCAAACTACAGTATTATTAAACAACATATATTAGTAATTGAAACTGAGAGGCCTTATCTTATATGGCTGATTTAGTCCTAAACAACCAGTAGGAACACGGATGAATAAGCCAGTCGATCCACCATGTGGGTGTGGCTGGCTCCCAACTCATGTACTGGTTATTAGGTTACTATTCTTGCTTCCTCTTCAATTGTTCCTGTCAAAGGCTAGTTACATAATAGCAGTAGTCCTATATATATATATATATATATATATATATATATATATATATATGACAGCTATATCTGAGGAAATATTGCCAATTTCAATAGAGATGAGAATAATACTCACCCTGGGTTGGTGGCTGACTCATGTCCTAACCGGAATTATCCTATCTACCTAACATTCCTGGCCAGGAATGACTGGATAAGATTTCGGAAAGACACTTCCCTTGTTTAGATGATGACTGCATGTTGATGGCAGAAGCTATAATTTACTCTCCATAACACTTCGTCCAAGGGAGAATTATTAGAGCTGAACGCGCTCCAGCGACCTGTTGTCTTAACAATAATGGCTGAACCTTGGCCCTCCCTCCCACTGTTGCCCCTTGTTCTCCTGATGCATCAAGAAGTCTTAGAAAGGTCATATTTACTCTACTTTGGTACTAATAATTAAGTTAATTCAAGTGAAATGGTTTTATGATGTTAACAGTCCAAAGACTGCTGTATTAATAATAATTCCCAGCAGAATAGCTGGTGAAATTAATAGCGCTCTGTGGCAATGATATCTCGTTTTTTACGAGAGGAAATTTCGCCTGCACCACGTCTTCTATAAGTGAATTTATATATACAGTTCATCAGCAATATTTTCTGCCTTATGTATTGAATATTAGTAAATGGTGTCGGGTTTTCCGACAGGGTTTTCCAATTTAATTACATAACTAGACTCTGACAATGAATAACACATTAACTTACTCTCTCTGGTTATATCAGCGTCGCATACCCATAAACCCACTAAACCTCCTCGGTCACCACGTGGACTCGTAACTTCCGCCTATGTCCCTGAAACCGAATCATCACTATAACTCTACACACCCGGTTAGTCTTACATTCAATACTCACATACTGCAGACTTGACTTGCTCAACAAGATCACATCGGGTTCCCCACAGATTTGTCAGTTTCACTTCGTTGCTGTTATAGACGGAAATAATGAGGACTTGTTGTACCGCTCCTACCACCAGACTGCCTCCAGCCGCTCATAGCCTCAAACATTACACCCCGCATCCCAAGGTGGGTATAATCCGATTAACCGTAAATCTCCTTGTTACTACAAACTTGAGGTCACCCTTTGTCCTCTTGGCTGGTACATTTGTTTGGGCAGGCAACTGCAGTCTTAATCCCTTTTGACCTTTTCTCGATGAGTGAGCAGTCGTCTGAGAACTTAACATGTATTTCCACTCATAATTTGTAAAGTATTGTAATGTTTGATTCTCTAGCTAATATTCATTCCTAACTTGTGGATTGCAACATTTGTATGTATTCACCTAGTTGGTTTCACCTCGTTGCGTTTGCGGGGGTTGAGCTCTGTTCTTTCGGCCTGCCTCTCAACTGTCAATCAATCAACTGTTATTAACTACTAACTAACAATTTTTTCACACACACACACACACACACACACACACACACACACACACACACACACACACACACACACACACACACACACACACACACACACCAAAGACCAAAGAGCCAGAGCTCAACCCCCGCAAACACAACTAGGGGAGTACACACACACACACACTTTGCGGGACCAAAGAGCCAGAGCTCAACCCCCGCAAGCACAACTAGGTGAGTACACACACACACACACACACAAATAGGAAACAGCCCGTAAAAGCTATCTAACTTCCCAGGTACCTATTTACTGCTAGGTAACAGGGACATCAGGGTGAAGGAAACTCTGCTCATTTGTTTTTCCGCCGTCTACCGGGATTGAACCCTGGTCCCTAGGTCTACAAGTCTAGAGCGCTGTCCACTCAATCAATCAGCCCCGGGCTGGCTGAGTATGAATGTATAAATGGATGTATGCATGTATGTGTGAATGTATGTTTGTATGTATGTATGTATGTATGTATGTATGCATGTATGTATGTATGTATGTATGTGTTATAAATATATGTGAGTGGGGCTTCTATGGGGGACTTGGTACTATTAAGGGGTAAGGGTAGTTAGAAGACAAGAGTATCAAATATGGGAGAGCTAAAAGGCCCGGCCCCCAAAATAAACTATCCACAGTAGTAATAACTTGCTACAAGACCATATATGTTAGTCTAAGGGTTGATCACTGCGCTCCCACCTTGGAAGAAGAGATACTCTGTAATTCATGTACTTATTTATTAACCCCTTAACAACCCCCCATATACACTCACACCAATAACAATAATAATAATAACTTTACCACACTATCTTACGTTAAAAGCCTTGGTCCACATAGGCAGGATACAAGGTTTACACTAATAACAAGCTAGGGTAAAGTACTACTGGATAAGCACTGAAGCTGGATGCAGCTTAGGGTAGTGATACCACGTGGGACCCTAATACAAAACACAACACTTAGGGGTACCCAAAACACTGGCAAATACTATCCCCAGGTCTCACCAATCGTTACTACCAGAGTAGGTACACTTAGAAATCATACAATACTTAACTTAATGGTACAGGAACTTAAGGTAAGGGAAATAAGTAAGAGGAGAAGGGAGGAGATTAGGGGTGCAGCCACAGAGTAGGTCTCGTCCGCACGAACGCCAGCCAGAGAAGAACCTCCTAGCGACCAGCTAGGCCTCCCATGTCGTGGTGCCGGAAGGAGCCTAATTGATCGTGCAGCTAAGCACATTAAAGATCTTCCCCTATGCAACGTATTGTTACTTTACAAATGATTAGAAGGTATTAGTAAGCAAAGTTGGTGCCTATGTTATTATTTAATAATCAACCCCCAGCTCAGTCTTTAAATGCTCTTTGAGAAACAATAATAGTCTTACGTCTGGCAGGGAAGATACAAACAATTGCCGCTCGAGATGCACTCAACTGTACTACCAGAAAGTTTAATAGCTCAATTTTGACCTCTGGTTTCCACTGGAGAACCCAGGGTCGTAACAGTATGTATGTATATATGTATGTATGTATGTATGTATGTATGTATGTATGTATGTATGTATGTATGTATGTATGTATGTATGTATGTATGTATGTACGTGTGTATGTATGTATATATATGTATGTATGTATGTATGTATGTATGTATTTTCGTGTGCATGTGTGTGTATGTGTTGTGTGTGTGTGTGTGTGTTTGTGTATGTGTGTGTGTGTGTGTGTGTGTGTGTGTGTGTGTGTGTGTGTGTGTGTGTGTGTGTGTGTGTGTGTGTGTGTGTGTGTGTGTGTGTATGTGTATGTGTGTGTACTCACCTAGTTGTGCTTGTGGGGGTTGAGCTTTGGCTCTTTGGTCCCACCTCTCAACCGTCAATCAACAGGTGTACAGGTTCATGAGCCTATTGGGCTCTATCATATCTACACTTGAAACTGTGTATGGAGTCAGCCTCCACCACATCACTTCCTAATGCATTCCATTTGTCAACCACTCTGACACTAAAAAAGTTCTTTCTAATATCTATGTGGCTCATTTGGGCACTCAGTTTCCACCTGTGTCCCTTAGTGCCTGTGCCCCTTGTGTTAAACAGCCTGTCTTTATCAACCCTGTCGATTCCCTTGAGAATCTTGAATGTAGTGATCATGTTCCCCCTAACTCTTCTGTCTTCCAACGAAGCGAGGTTTAATTCCCGTAGTCTCTCCTCGTAGCTCATATCTCTCAGCTCGGGTACTAGTCTGGTGGCAAACTTTTGAACCTTTTCCAGTTTAGTCTTATGCTTGACTAGATATGGACTCCATGCTGGAGCCGCATACTCCAGGATTGGTCTGACATATGTGGTATATAATGTTCTGAAAGATTCCTTACACAAGTTTCTAAAGGCCGTTCTTATGTTAGCCAACCTGGCATATGCTGCTGATGTTATCCTCTTGATATGAGCTTCAGGGACAGGTCTGGCGTGATATCAACCCCCAGGTCTTTCTCTCTTTCTGACTCTTGAAGTATTTCATCTCCCAAATGGTACCTTGTATCTGGTCTCCGGCTTCCTATCCCTATCTTCATTACATTACATTTGCTTGGGTTAAACGCCAACAGCCATTTGTTCGACCATTCGTGCAGCTTGTCCAGGTCTTCTTGAAGCCTCAAGCTGTCCTCCTCTGTCTTAATCCTTCTCATAATTTTGGCGTCGTCAGCAAACATTGAGAGGAATGAGTCTATACCCTCTGGGAGATCATTTACG